GCCACAGATTGTGCGTGATCTCTTTTAACATATTGCGACAACAATCTGATTGTCCCATTTTGATGGAATCTCACATCTCTCGAATCTTGAAGAAGAAACTGTAAATTTCGTTTCTTAACCTATTCCTTCCATTTGAAAAAACCCTTGATAGATTGTTCAAGCTCTCAGTTACCTTGTCCACGATATAAATAAATAAACAAATTGCATTAGCTAAAGGAAAAAAATCGGATAGGGTTACGAACGTTTTTGATCTGAATCAAAAGGCTTGAGTTAGATTGGCATATATGACCTAAGTTTCTCATTCTTTTACTCCAAAACACGCGTGATATTCAATCCCATCAGATATCAAGTACGCTTCGTTAGCAATGAAATATGGTGTGGTCGAAGAAACGAGATAGTGCTACATCAGCCAGAATAATTTATATGTTACTACGCTGTACAGTGATGATGTATAACTACCATTATAGATACTCATCGTCATTAACAACATTACGACGATATCGTGATGCAATCTGGTCGATGTGTATGCCCTATATTACCCCTCGTCCGCACGTTTAATGAATAATATTCATGCAGTATCATCCGTTTTCCCCCTGATCACCGAGTACAACGCGTCACAACAGTGGTTCAAATCACAAAATACTTGAATCGAAAGCGGATAAAATTTTTAAAAGGTAAATGATGGAACACAAAGGGCTGCTTCACTAAGTTCTCCAAGGTAGCCGTCAAAACAAGACTCAGCTCTCGTCAGATGGTGATTAATGGTGATAGCACTGTTGTCGAGAGACTGATAATCTAAGGCTTTTTTTTCATTCTTAGTAGTATCGCATTTCTGGTCTAATTTGTGAGTACAACGTTACTTTTTACTTTACTTTGCTGGGCTTAACGAGTGGTTTGTTGAGGTTTGTACACCGGTTCGTGTCACAGTTTCTAGGAACCATAGGTGATAATCAGGTAAGAGTTAAAGAACGAGGTGAAATATGCCCTATGGACTCGATAATCGGCCAACTCAGTTGTATTGCACCTACAATATATATGTTAAAACTAAACTGCATTTCTACCTCATAATTTGCATTGGGGTGTGATTAGTCTAAATGCTTGTCTCATGTGCGCCATTTCAGTCATATTCTGCTGGAATATGAGCCAGCTTCATAGAGTTCAAAGGTGCACCACTGGTGTTTTTACCAACAATTGTGACTTACAATGCAGTGTCCTGTATTATTGTAAATTGTTATATATAAGATTTATCATGTATTGATAATATTATACGTAGTGTTTGCAATAAACCACGTTCTACCGCATCATTTCTAATCTAATCTTCGACCTAACTAGTATACTCTCCAGCGTAATTACCAACTGTGAATATGTCGCTTGTATCGATGATGAAATGCAATAGGTTCACCCTAATTTTTAACACACCGTATACACGTTTTCCTTTCCCTCTTTCAGGATCAAGTTATTATTAATTTTAACAAGCTCCATGCAGACCCTAAGCAAGGCAAAACATTGGACATTGGTATGTTTCCGTCAACGCCTTACCCTGATGAATGACAATACTTTAGTACTCAAGAAAGCCAAACATCGAGTTGTTGAATTCATGGAAGCAAGCACTGCGGATGCGCTGGGTCTTAGCCGAGCTATCCTCGTGAATGGTATGTGCGGTTATGTTTGACACACGCGCATACATATATCTATGCATATACCAATCTGCTCATCGCCATATCATGCTTTCTATGTAATTTCCAGATGGCTTAGTCAAAAAGTTGGATGAGCTCAATCGAACCGCGAACATGTTTTCTGGAATGGTGGCTCATGCACGAAATATGCTACGTGCGATCTACGAACTCTCCCGAATCTACGCTGGTTAGTTTCATTTTTACTTTTCGCGTGTATTCGTGGTTGAGTCATCGACCAGAATTATGCTCGTATGTTGACATGCATCTGAAGTCATTCCTTTGCGTGACTTTGGTTGTAATCCCTAATCGTTCTTCTACTTATTGGTGGGACACCCTAGCGGTACCGTTCCATCGAACTCAAATGCATACATGAACTATAAACAATTCCATACTGCATCGGTTGTCGCGCAGGATTATCAGAACCGCGCTGCCCGTAGCATCAAGCTGGGTTGGTATTGATAAATGGGTAACTGCTCAGAAATCCCAACCTTTGTTTGATTCTTTGTCCTGTGTACCCAACCCTCTCCATTTGCCCCCAACCTCAAGTACCTTGGATGTCGCTCGCCTAAGGTCGTTGCCAAATAACTGCAAGTAATGTCCCACGAAATAGATTGCGGATTTCTAAACCTCTTCAACCACTGAATCTGGGGGCTTTCACTATGAAGACGCTGATATGGGTAGGTCAACAAGCTTGTCTGGCGCGTACAATGCATTCCTTAAGGATCAATATTTGCTGCGCATCGGAGGCTCAAATTCAGGATTCTATTACCATAAACCACTCAAATGCGCCAGGTCTGCCCTCGAGATACGTTCTTTGTACATCAGGTGAAGACGAAGCCCGTGTAGTAGGTCAGCGCGGCTAAGTATTGTACTCACTAACAGAGTTGAAGCCTCTCTTTTCAATTGGTTACCTGTCAATTGTCGTTCATGTGCAATGTTTCTCCAGAGGTCCATCAGCGAAGGAAAGCAACACCAAAAGGTGCCTGTTCATCGTATCGGCATATGCACCGACCAACTGCAGTTCTGATAATCAGAAAAACAATTTCTACGGCAAACTCACTGAACTTATTCGGTTGAGTCAAAGCTTCGACATAGTTGTACTTGCAGGTGATTGTAACGCACAAGTTGGAAAACTGAGCGCATCAGAAGCTTGCCTAGGCAGTAGTTCTGCTCTGCATTACCAGCGAACAGATAACGGCGATCAACTTCGAGTTTTGCGCAGACCAGCATTTGTTCGTATCCAGTACCAACTTCCGACACAGTTCTCGACGGATGGCAACGTAGCAATACACTAACTCAAATCGACCACATAGCAGTAAGCCATCATTGATGTAGCTCAGTGCAAAACTGTAGGTCCTATTGGATTTCTTGCGTTTATTCTGGTTACGCATTATTTTCGATGCAGTTCACTCCGACTCACTGGCCGGCGACAAAACCAGCAAACTCAGGTAGTTCAACATCGCCTGTATCTCAGCAGCTCATGCACGCTATAAGTCAGAGCTAGTGTATGAACTGAGAGTGCCTCAACGTGACGGTGTAAATGAGCAGTGGGATCAGATTAGCCGAGAAATGCATTCCGCAGCGCGTGTTTCATGTGGATCTGTACCTCAAGCCTGTCACAAGCATTAGAAGTCTTACGAGTTGGTAACCCTGACGGAGAAAAATCAAAAAAGCCCCACCTGTCAGGATTAAAACAAGGTTAAGTGGCGTCTGCAACGTCCATCGTGGAAACTGGTGGGTAACAATAGCTAGAGAAAGGAAAGTAGTAGCTGCATCATGGGATAGCAAAGACTGTTCCCACTGAGACGCAATACGGTAGGTCGGCGAACTCCGGTTAATGAAATAATCTGCTATACAAAGGGGCAAGCTATTCGCAATGAATGAAAACGACTTGATCGCCAGGTGAGATACTTCAGTGAATAGTTCAGCTCGGCTGGCGCTAAGCAAATTACCTTATCTACAACTAAAGCTCCGTGGACAGCGTCCCGCCATCCTCTGGTTGAATGGGAATCATTAGCAAATCAAGTTTATCGTCAGCAGCGGCGTTCGTCAAGGGTGTCCTATTTCGCCATTCCTGTTCGATTTCGTCGTAGATGAAATACTGGAGAACGCACCAAATGGTCTCCAAAACGTTATTAGTGGGCAGCTGGAGAAAAACCGTTTCGAGAACGTCGATGACATTGTGTGTTAGAATGGAGGACGCGCAAAGCGCCTTGACAGATTGTCAGTTCCTGTTTCCACATTCGGTATGTACTTCAAAAGGCAAAATGATGCTGCAAGACTGGATATCGATTGGTCCCACGTTAAATCTGAATGGTCAGCATTTATAGTGGATTGCTTTTCCTACTTAGGTATCTGTGTGACCAATGGCAGTAGCCCAACAAAGGAGATAAGCGCCCGGATTTCTAAGGCACGAGCAACGTACGCAGGACTGAAGCACCTTTGCGGTAAACGTGACGTTGAAGTGTCTATTGTGCTACCATCCGTTAAGTTTCCTTGATGGTTGTGAGACCTTGAATTTGCGAGTAGAAGATATCCCCTGACTAGAGGTTTTCGTCTATCGGTGTTTACGTAGTTCGGCTCATGTGGGATGAGTTAGTAATCTGGAGGTGAGCCGTTGTGTGTTGGACTGATTATCTGGGATAAATATGCAAGCTGATCGAATTCAGATTCATAGGCTTCCCTTCTAGGGCACGTATTTCGTATGCCCAGCTGTCATCTACCGCAGTGCGCTTTATTCCGTGGCGGCTTCGGGCTGGAGTAAACCCCGTGGAGGGCAACATGACGCGGAGACGAGGTATGAAGAAATGCGCAGAGCCATTAGGTGGAGTAGGTGTCTCGCGCCTTCCAGGTTGGGGGTACTCTGTGTGTTGACCATAGAGGTTCAGTTTTCTCTCCCTTCCCCCAGTTAGGTCCAATCCCAGTTCGCCTTACATTTATCACTGATTTTGTATGTGTTATGAGTTTGGCAACGATCAGTGAAGTTGGCTTCATTGTATTTCGCTGTACGATGATGGTGATGTTCGACCCTCATAAAGACACCAAGCGGCTAAGTAAATTCTGAAATTGTCAGATCCCTGATCTCGCTTGTAATATCAGTTGCTTTCTGCACGTAAACTCTCACCCGTCTCTTGGTAATTGTACGATATTAGTCACCCACCTTCGGGAAAAACCCTTGCATTGGAACTTTTCTCCTATTATTATTATTATTACTATTGAATTTGTTTTCTGCTTTTTTCTCATTGCAGTTTATATATATTTACTTTGAAACTTCGGGCATTGCTGAAAATTCACTCTTTAGGAGCATAAAGCGTGTTTTGAGGCTAACACTGAACAATAGGAACTAAACTTAGCCCGCAACGGCTTCCAGAGTCGTTAAGTGATTCCTCCTCGAAGAATAAAAGATCACTGAGTCGCCACAGGTATGTGGCCTCCGGTCCGGACAGACTGTCTCCACCGGCCAGTAGGAACGAAGAGTCAGCATGGATCCCATTGTTGACGAAACTCTTACGCCAAATATGGGTGTGGGGACAGGTTCCAACTGAATCGGTCATCTGTTCGATTTACAAGAAAGATGACAGATCCTCTTCTGAAAACCACAGAGGAATTAGTTTACTCAACATTCTCTCTAAACTTCTCACCAGGGCCACACTCCATTGGTTTTCGGTCGCATGTGAACAGTGATCCCGTGAAAATCAAGCTGTTTTCAAACCTGATCGAGGTTGTATCGACCATATTTTCACTCTTTACCAAATTCTAGAACACAGATTCTCCTTTCGTAGACCCGCCATTCTCTCTTTCTCGATCGGCCTTTGACTCAGCCAAACCGCTCTAAACTCTGGCGCTCACTCTCCCTGAAATGTGTACCCAGAAGCTTACTTCAATATCACGATATTTCTATACCAATAATCGAAACCGAGTCCGAGGTTACGGCCATTTTTTCACCCGAGTTCACCACAGAAGGTGATGTTCGTCAGGGTTTCCCCCTCTCTCCTCTTCTATTCAACTCTGTTATCCTCGTGCGAGGATAGCGGTATCGATTTACTCCTGGGTGGCAGACTGTCTGATCTAGAGTATGCAAACGACATTGTGCTAGTAAGTGAAGATCCAAGTAAGTTGCAATCTTTTCTTGACAGTTTGCTATTGTATCCATGTTCGGTATGCGTTTTGCACCTGCAAAGTGCAAAATGTTGCCACAAGAGTGGGTTGGCCCAGCCCCGAAACTTGGTCTAACGGGGTTAGTAGTTAAGTTTGGTTATTTGGGCAGTTATACCTCGCCTAGCGGACGCATCACAGATAAAGTGTCAGCTCACATACAGATGGCTCGATGGGCATTTGTGACGCCGTCGCGACATTCGGCTGTCCGTGAAGGGTCGAGTGTTTACTGCAGCAATTTAACCAGTACTGGTTTATGGTGCAGAAACTTGACCATTAGGAAAACAGGATAAAGATGAACTGTCGATGTTTGACCAGTGCTGTGTACGAGTTTAACGAGGATCCCGGATAAGCAATGCTGAGGTTAGACTCTGTTTTAGGTGATGGCAGTGGCCCACTAGAACAAGTGGTTGACCTCAATAGGTTACGTTGCTTGGGGCATTTGTTGTGCATGTTACCAAACAGATTGTCCCGGCGAGCGTTGTTCGTCGATGCAGGTAGTTGTTGGGAAATAATCATGTGCTTTCGAAGCAAGTCCTGATTATGAAAACCTGAATCAGAAGACTCGGTCGCTTAGATTGCTTAAAGCTTTCTGGATATGGACCCCTGGACCATGGTAATCGGTGGTTAGAAACTGAGTGATTTGGCCGGGTGTCGCAAACAGTGGCGCTCGTACATCTACCCATTATTCTTGCAACCCCGATCTAAATGCGTTCGCAATGTTCCGTCTCCAATCTTTCTCTCTATCATCCTAACGGGCAGTCTAAGGAGAACAACCAAAACTGCCGCACAAGGGTGGATGGTTAATGGTTGTGAAAACCTAAGGGATCTGAACTGATACTAGTATCCATAGGAGACTCACTTTTCATAATAATGAATAGGAAAATCCTATTAGGTCCGTCTGCCCTTCCATCCCTCCGCGCCATCATAGTTCTGCTGCGCTTTGGGTATGACAGATCATTCATAAAATGCAATCGAACAAACCAGAATAATGCGAGGCATGCATCCACGTTTGCCGGCCCTAATCAGCGCCAACATAGAGGGGGCTGTTTAAGCTTATGCATTCATAATCAAGGGCATTGCATTTTTCAGTAATGTACCGCGGACGTTCTTTGTTCCGGTCACTTTTCTCGAACACCGAAGTTCGTCAGGGTTCAGTGGTTGTGGCCAATCGAATATAGCTTCCGTTCAGAAAAATCTGTGCCTATTGCAATCGGGCCAAAGGAAACGTGTTAGTGTTCGGTAAAGCGGTGTCAATTCTAAACGATTTATCTCATTTGGTCATTTGATAGTTCGAATCAATCCTTAATCAACCCTCGAAATAATAATCTGTCCATCGTTCACGTCAGCCTTCCGTCGTATACTTGATTTCAGTTTGTAAACATTATTTTTCCGCTGCAGCGGCATTTCTTTCGCGTACTATCAAGTGGCACCAGTGAACCACATGTAAGAGCTATAAACTGTATGTTTTGGGTTATCTGCGCTCACATGAATTGAAGATATAAACGGAAAGTGAGGATCTACGAAGGTAGAATTATAAATTAAAAACACGAAATTGTGCATCAAAGTAGTTTAAAGTAACAAGATGGTCTCAGCGTCAGTGTTTGGTATAGGGAAACCACCATTTGGTTGATGAACAAACACGAAACGCACGGGATGCAGCGGTTTAAGCGTCTAATCCACAATAAGGCTCAAGCGATTGCCATCTACTTTTCAATATATACATACGCACGCAGTTCCCACTTGCGACTATATCCTATCCGTCGGTGCAAGCCGATCTTTGAACCAGCTGGAACCTTTACATTAAAAGTTACACAAGTCCCGCCTTTGGTTTTCATCTCTTCTGAACTCCACAACACTAAAGATACGTGTTTGCTTTTCATATATACACTAACGTGTGTTCCATTAATGAACTTTCTCTAGGGCGGACGTCTCGCACAACCTTCCCAGTCGTTGTTCGTTTTGTGACGAATGATGGATACAGCGTAAATTCGTAGAATAGTACCCATGGTATGCGGTTTTTTGTTTATTTCACTACGTCTTGTAGAGCCTATCACTATAATATTAACAATAACAGACACTTTCCATGGAGTCTAAAATTGCACAGACAAATTGTACAAAGAGAAAAGTGACTGGCTTCTGCAGAATATGGTGCAGTTTGGACGTTTTACTGTAAGCATGTAATCAAAACGCACCTGAGCTGGACTGATTTAATGGTTGGTCACATCATTTGACCCCACATGCGTCTTGGAATATCACCATTTCCTTTAAAATTAAGGTCTCCTCACACGGAAAACAGTAATTATTTGAGTTGTTCATTTTCGTGCCAATATTTCCCCGAATTACCTTGTAAACTTTCACTCCTGCATTATGTTGCACAGCCTTGGGTGATGTGTTCTCTGAAATCGGCGTGAAAGAACCAATGCGTCGCACAAGCGAAGCGTTCACACAGTTTGGCACCACGCATCGAAGCATGGAACGCTACTCTATTGATATGCTCAAAAAGATCAAACCGGTGAGTTATGCACTGTTTGTCTCTCTATTTCGGTCCCCTATGAACGCGTTGGTTTGGAAACATGGGCGGATAATGTGTGAATGTGTCTCTGATCCTTCTAATTCACCAGTTACTGTTTATTTTCTTTATTCACTCACGTTTGAGGCCAGACTGTGCCAAACAAATCATAGGCAGTTTTGCCTGAATGGCGTTAACTAACCTCCCAAGTTGTATCGTAATTTGATTTGCATTATGTTTCATATTTTTTCTTCACGTTATTCGGACAACCATCAGGCGAAATTGAAGTCTAACATAGGGTCATCGCGTTTAGTTGGAGTAGATAGTTTGTTTGGTTTTAGAGCTCACTCGTATATTTGGATATTGTTTTGCACCCTACCCCCCCCCCACCACCACCACCAGTGTCGTGCTAAGTTCACTTTCCCATTCTCGTTGTTTATAGCTAGTGGGGAGTTGTTGTATTCCGGGAAACGCAACAGCAATATGTTGAACTGCGTCGCTGTTCTCCCGCTGTACTGTCTCTTCAGTGCGCAATGTTTGCCAGGGCAGGTAAGCGGTGGCTGGAAAAGCCATCAGTGGTCAGATTGTGAGTTAGTGGAAATACTTGAAAACCTTGATCATAGAGGCCGTGTTAAACTTTTTGGTTGAGAACTTAGTGGTCAGCCGAATCAATCGTTAGATCCATGAAGTGGTACGACTAAGTGGCGTTATCTGTAGCGATCCGGCATCTAATCACTTTATGTACACCTGATTTACCCACATTTTGTATCTTTATTCTGTTGATGCTTGCTGTTTTCTTGTTTTCCTTTGTTCTTCGTCGTCCGACCGAATGATTACATGTATTTACACACCGACCTGAAACAAACTAGGTGTTAACGTTCTAGAAGAAACAAGAACAGTTACAAACAACAGTGGAAGGAACCTTTCCCTCTCTCCGATCGGTCTTGTGGACCGTTGTACTACTCGGTGCCCCAGGTCAGAGGAGGANTAGCTTGGGGGACAATGCCCCGAGCTCCCAACAGAAGGTATATTCAGTAAAAGAGTGTGGGGCGGTACTTTAATTTTCCACGACCATGTGCTGCTAGTCATTGCGTCAGTTTTTGGAATATCTCGGACTGCAGCTCCTCTACGTTCTTAGAATCTAATACGCACCTTTGCCCCATCATCGCTCTGTTTTGTTTTTGTTGTTCTGCAGATCGTGGCCGATTTGAACACGTTTCTTCACAAGGCCGTTCCGGACACACGATTGACCATCAAGAAGTATTTGGATGTCAAGTTTGAATATCTGGTTAGCCGCGGTTTTTTATGTCCATACTTGCTCTATTGGATACAAATCACTTCAACGCTGATGGGTTGACCTAAATATAAATCGATAAAGTGTTTAATGGGCATGGATATAATTGTGCTAACATTCGCATAGTACGTTTTCAACACAGTCCATTGGCTTCAGCGGACAGCGAACTTGACCGCCTCAGGCTGAAGATTGTGGGCATTGTGATTTATTACAGAGTAAGTTAAATTCCGTTAGTACAGCCATCAGCCATGCACTCACGTGCGTTGGTTTTGGCTGCCCATTTGAATGAACAGTAGCAGAAAGACAGGAAAGCTGAATGTAGAGTCCAAGAGGAAATTAAGAATTTCAGTGGACTACGGTTTCCAAGGAACTGAGAAGATGCCCAAAAGCCACTGTTTACGACACAGCGACATTGCTCAGTTTTTTTAACCATTGGTTACAGTGATCTCAAGGAGCCTAGTGGGACCCATTTTACCCAGTATCCTGGTTGAGGTTTTCATACCCTCATGCCAGGTATTTTCCTGACCACCCTTGGCTTTTTCCCCCACTACCTGCCTCGGCAAATATGGCACGCCATGGTGACCTATTCGGTGACATGCGTAACATATGCCCCAACCACCGTAATCCATCAAGGTCGGCTACTTGCTCCAGTGAATGATCGCGATTACCTAAAACTCTACGCCTAACCTCAGCATTGTTCGTCCGGTTGCCTCACCAAATTCGTGCAATGCAGTGGTGTTCAAACACCGACAGTTTGTCCTTATCTTGTTTTCTTGATGGCAAAGTTTCTACGCTGCATAGCAGAACTGGCCGAACTACCGCAGCATATACCTGACCCTTCACTGACAGCCAGGTGTTGCGGTGGCGCCATGGATGTCTCAAGTTGGCAAATCTCAACCGAGCCTTCTGTATACTGACATTTCATCTGTGATGCGTCCGCCAGGTGAGATATAGCTGCCCAGATAGCAAACCTTATCCACTTGCTTTATTACTACCCCAGTTACAGTGAGGCTGGGTGCTGGACTAACCTAGCGTCGTTGCAACATTTCACACTTTGAAGGTGTAAAACGCATATCGAACATGGTTAAACTAGCACGCAAACCATCTAGAGAAGCTTGCAACTAACCTGGATCTTCATTTAACAACACAATGTCGTCTGCATACTCCAGGTCAGACAGTCAGTCGTCCGGGAGAAAATCGAGGCTGCTATCTTCGCACGAGGACGGGTGATTTTCCAAAATCAGAACCATTAACGAATTGAATAGAAAAGGAGCGAGAGCAACTCTGGCTAACACTACTTTCCGTAGTGAACGTGGGCGAAAGTATCTTAAGCGCGGACTCGGCTTCGGTTAGTAGTATAGAGATATCGTAATATTGAAATAAACTTCTGAGGCACAGAGAGAGGAAGCGACTGAGTCAAAGGTCGCTTTCAGATCGGGAGAGGAATGGCGGGCCAACGAAATGATAACTGTGTTCTGGAATTAGGTGAAGAGTGAAAATATGGTTGATACAACCTCGATCAAGTGTAAAAACACCCTGATTCTCACATGATCCCAGATAGAATTTTAGGAGTGCTGTTATTCTAACAAATTCCCCTGCGGTTTTTATAAGAGGATTTGTCATCTGCCCTATAAATCTGCAAGATGACCGATTCACACCATATGACTGAAACCTGTTGGCTTTCCCACACCGACCCCAGGCCTTTTTTCAACTCCAAGACCAAGGCTGACCCTTCATCCGTGAATGCGTATGCGAACAGCCCATTTGGGTCGGAGGCCTTATGTTTTTCCGGTAAACCTCCATTTCAGGTCGTGGGCTGGCATCAACTGGGAGTATTCGCCCAGTTAATGTGGGGGAGTTGATAGGTCCGATATCAATGGGGCCAGTTGAACTGAGCCTCAAAATGTTCAGCCCATTGATCCAGACGGCGCTGATGATGACGAATCAGTGCCATCGGATTCCTCGATTACCTCACCTAAGCCTATTTTCCTGGGGCCCGTGTTGCTAATTGAACGGAAAAGAGTGCGGCTATTACCAATAACCGAAGCTTTCTCTATCTTTCTACACTGTCTTATCCACCGCTTCTGGCGGCCAATTCTCTGACTCTTGATGAGCTGGCGTTTAAGGGATTTGCGCTCTGTCATATTCGGCATCAGAAGGAGAATGGGTTGTGAGTTTGTCCAGCAGGGCAACCAAGGTCGACGAGATCCATCGTTTGTATTTTAAGCTTGCGCTGGGGTCCACTTTTGTTTTGATCGATATTTGCGTGGATTCCTTGATCTGCTTCTAGTGTTTGTTGAGTCCTTTGGCTCGTGGTTGAACTGGTAGGCGACCAGATAGTTCCACTTCGAAGACCGATTTGCAACTATCGTTGACATTGTATCGTGGGTATCCGTTGCCGCTGGCCTTATTGCGATTGTTTGCCATGCCTGAAGAGAATTTGGTTCGTAACAAAGCTTGGTCCGTATCCTCAGGTGTTGACCACTGGGAGTGGCAGTCTTGAATTACCGTCTCCAGCGCTAAAGGATGGCAATGTGGTCGATTTGGGTCCATCAGTGTGAAGAAGTTGGCGGTTTCCACGTAAAGTGGTCGTTTCCTGTGCGCGAAGTTAGTGCTTTACAGGGACAATCCGCGGTTTGCGCAAAGTTAAAGTGGGCGATCTCCGTTGTCCGTCCGGTTGGCTGGGGTTGCATGTATACCACCAAGAAGCTTTTCTGATTCGTTCGGGGAGCTCACTTGAGCATTGAAGTCTCCGGTGACTACTGTAACGTCCGTTGATCGGACTCTTGGAGCAACTGACAAGGATCCGCGACGAATTCATCCTTGATTTCAAGTGTATCACAGCCAGTCGGTGCATACACCGAGACAACCAATAATCATCGAAGCTTCGTTTTGTTACTGTTGCACTGTCGGCCACTGACTCAAACCCAGTCAAAAGGTGAGTGCTCAGCCTTGGCACAATCCCACCACCAGCACCATAGCAAGTGTCGAATTCTGAATCGCTTGACGCACGAAGAGTGAAGCTTGGGGATCAGGTTGGATCAGAAAAACACAGGGAGGTGATTGAAGTAAGATCTTGTGCGCGCGTTTTGGAGACATACTGTATGTCTGAATTAGATGTTTCAAGGGTTCTAGATAAGTTATCTTGTTGATCGATCTTATAGTGTGCAGACGTTGAAACCGGTTAAGCGAAAAGGCAATATTGGTTTCAAAAATCCTACAACTTATAATTGTTTCACACTACTGGTAAAACGCTGAGTGATATCCGATTGGTGGCGTAATCAGGAGGTATCTGGAATCATTCGAGATTGAAATGATTAACTAGACAAATGGGGAATGGATTTTTCCAAATAGGTGCCTAAGACTTTAGGGCGCAGTATTCTTCTCGGTAGCCCACACCGACGAATGGGGTTTTCTTGTACGCTCCTCACCAGAGCCTTTGACTCAACGGATGACCTACGAAGCAGTCGGACGTAGATCCAACGCAAGAGCGTAACGAAAGCACCTATTTGGGATGTTCTAAAAACCTGTCACGGGAGGCCCTCGGGTTTCGGTTCAGTTTATTGTTCGCTGGTGCGTTGATTATCGGTCCAGTGTTCGCGTTTGACCCTTAGTCTCATGCACCCAATAAGATAAGTGAAACGTGCATGGGCATTAACTGTCCAATGGAATGTAAAATTTCTCACACCGTCGAGCGGAAGCCCCGTTCCTACGTCCATCCAGCGGGGGGTTTTGGAGCGGTAAACTGGCCTTCCGTATTTTTTTATTGAAGTGACCTATCCAGGGGCTAGCGTGGATAAACACAGGAAGGCAGATCTTTGTTTGGCCGCTACGCATTGATCTTTCAGGCAAGGTTGAATCTGGGGCTGTGAAAAGCCCTCCTGTGTTGCTCGCAGGGTCATGGAGGCACGCAAGCCATTACATTACGTCAGGATACAGTCTCGTCGTGATGGAGCGCAACTTGAATTCACAAGTGGTCCATACTGCACGGCCTACTTGTACACTACGATTTATGGGCACGTTCCTCAAGATATTGAATATAGGGTTGATAATTTATACTACAATTACGAAGTCTATTTCACAGCCTTTTTCAACTTTCTTCGACCTAACCAAGCCTTCAAGTGGCGTCAGATTACCTTCACCAGTTTACATGTATGACAAATTGTTCATCCTGTCATACGTGTATTCTCGTTAAATGTTGCAACAGTCCGTGTACCGTTCGAACTAATTGCCACTGGTGTCCGATCAGCTTGCCCACGCACATACCCACTTGGTTGACCAGCGGGTGCTCCTCTTAACTCATATGCACCATTGATCCAAATTCTTTTGGCTTCATTCCATTTCAATGGGACTGGTCTCATATCTGTACTGGGTACTATTCTCCTCACATCATGTTTAGCCTATTTTGACAGACGGGCAGGACCGAGCGCTACTAGAACCACCGACTGATTGATATCATGCGGGTTTGCTGAACGGTCCCTGCTCGTGGCTTTTGTATTTCATAGTATTATAGCATGCTTGAGCTCGTAGGTACTGTCCGACGGGGAAATATCGCAGGCAACCGAAATAGGAAGTTAAGAAATTTCCAAATTAAAGTCCCAAGTTAGTTTAAAGTCTCCTTCATGTTCATCAGTATCAGTTTAAAGAACTATTTAGCATGCATTTCCGTGCGACGCTTTTGGTTGCTGTCTTTTGGCTACCCACTCTGGTGAACAATAGGAGAAAAACAGGAAGGTTGAAAGTAGGATCGAAGAGAAAATTGACGGGAATTAGTACACAGATATGCCATGCAAGGGTTTAGGTGGAGCCAAAATCCGATAAATTGATCGAGTGGTTGTGTAAGAACGATAATTCGTTAGACTGAAATTTGGGTGATCCGAAAAAACTTTGTCAGTATAGGAAATACCAGGTCTGACTAATAGGCCTTTCACAAAGATTGGTCATTAGATTACTGAGTGAACTGCAAAAGCATGACTTACGGTGCTAGCCCAAGGTAAGGAAACTTCCGGACCACGAGTTCAATTAACGGGACAATACGTTGTTGCTTCTTCTCAATTTCGAAATCTTTTCAGCAGCACATCCGGATGGATTGTGCACATTCGTTGGGATAATGCTCGCATTAGTCGCCATTTTTATAAACACTGTTCAGCTCTCATCGTTCTTTCATGCCCCTCGATTACCATGCTCCCTTCTGTTCTCCTCAGTCTTACTGCCTGAAAGTGAAGGAGATGGACGACGAAGAGTACGGATTTGCCATGATTCACGAGCCTCTCTATCGCGTAGAAACCGGGAATTATGAATATCGACTCATACTACGCTGTCGTCAAGACGCACGAATCCGGTTTGCTAAAATGCGTAGTGATGTTCTGGTGAAACTGGAATTGTTGGACAATAAACATGGTAAGTGTTCTTCATTCCCCGAAATGTCGCTTCTACACTGACCTTCCAGGTCTGTCTTCTCCTATAGATACAAATGCCCTTCTTGCCTCATTGGATCGCTTTCTCCTATCTAATGCAGTTTCAGGTGAATTCTTTAATCCTATCCACTTGTTATATACCGATAGCTGAAACCTAATCTGGACTCACGGTAGTGTTTCGCCTTACTCATCACAATGAGTGCTGTTTTCTAAGGTTATGGGTAAGTTATGAGCTATTCTGAATTGTGTGCGCCATGGTGTTGTAATTGGTATGTGTTAGCAACTAATTAACGCAAAATGCTGTTACATGGTTGAGTCCTTTCGTGCTTACCTGACCTAATGTAAGAATCGAAACGGAAAATGATTTGACGGTGGCGGGTTACAAATCTGAAGTTCTTTAGACCGTTGCGCTCCATGGACATTGGTTAACATCATACAACCACACCCTCTCACCACTTAATTATGGCAATAGCAACAGAAATGCATTTTCTCGGATGGTGGTACCGATGATTTTGGTCAGAATAATTCACCATATGTCCGCAGACACAATAATCATAACTACTTACTTGTACTCGACTGTCTCCCTCTGGAGGATAAGTCGGCTTCATGGGTATTATCCGTAATTCCTCAATTGCTCGATCACTGTTCATTCGTAAGACCATTGTCACCCACCTCAGGAAAGAAACTCTTGGACTAAACTTTTTCTGGTTTGCCGCAATATAAAATGTGTTTTTTATTGTTTTCTTTATTTATCGCAGTGTTTCCTTTATCCACTATACCAGTTCGTAAATTGCTGAAAATTTACCGTTTGGGTGCACAAGGCGTTTTCTTGAGTTTAAACCTTACGGTTGGTTGACAACCATGGCACATTGAACTCAACGTTCAATCACTTAGCAAAGGATAATGGCGTCACCACTCTAAGGCGTACTAGCGTTGGTGAATTTCGAATCAAATCCGCCATTGCTCTCATGTGACACGTAGTCAGGTTCAAAATGTTTCCAACTCAGTCATCACACTGGAAGCTGGTGTTAAGTTGACCGAGATGCGACACCCACAGCAAGCTTTCAAAGATGGTTTTTGCTATATTGTGTATATGCACAATGAAAAACAATCTGAGCAACTGTCCCATGGGTAGTATATCTATCGAGAAGGAAGTCTCTCGAAAACTCAAAGTTCTGAAGCGCTACAAGTCGCCCGACCCAGTTGAGCTCCCTCCGTCCCTTTTCAAAGACCGTGGTGCATATCTTGACCGATAGCTAATTTCGTTATCCCAAACTGTTTGGAATATTGAATCCATTCCATCCAAATGGAGTTTGGCGAACGTCATACTTGTTTTCAAGAAGGTCCCCTGCCACGATTGCTCTAATCACTGAGGGATTAGTCTCTTCTCCCTTACATATATATATACAGGTGCTGATCAAACTCGTGCAACTCCCACTCTCATTTTTGAACTACGTTTCAGTTTGCAGTATCATACTTGTATATTGATGGCTATAGGTAAAGTGTATTTATTCCTGACTTTATCTCCCGTTTCTATGTTCTTAGTTCTATTTTATCATCGTTTAAATTTACGCGCACTTGAGCGTCACAATATAATAAGTTGTAGTCCTAAAGTTGCAATTCAGATTAGCAAAAGATTTTATGCGAAGCATCATGGAAATTTATTCTTTTTAATGAATGATTCCTGTTTCGTGAGAAGTGTGCGTCTTGTAGTGTCACCATGCTCAAACCGGATAAAACATCCATAAGATTTAGGAATATAATTGAAGCCGGGAGGCCCATGAATCCGATGGTTCAGTTCTTGACTAGTGCAATTTCAAGTCAAGAAACGCTTTATGCACCCAAAGAGTGAATTTTCGGCAATTGCTTCGATGTGAACATAAACCCAGTTTCTTGCACATTCAATGGAATTTCTCCATCAAGACCTAAACCAAGAGGGAGTAAACCGGTCACAACGAATCAAGACGATAGTTGAATGTGACCGCAGTGGAGAAAAATTGCACACAATCAACAGGCAGACTAGTCCAGGCGGATTAGCCGTTTTTCCTCCTGCTACCATTGGGAAAATTTCTTAGTTTGAAATGCAGCTGAGGTTAGTTCAGTTTAAACAACCATTAAGCATGCTTTTCCGTGCGACGCTTTGGTTGCTGTCTTCAGGCTGCCCATTTGGGTGAACAATAGAAGGAAAGCAGGAGGGTTGAAAGTAGGAAGAATGAGAAAATTTAAATTTCGGTGGACTAATGAAGCAGAGCAACTGGGAAGATGCAAGATCGCCACTGTTTTCGACACCCAGCCATATCACTCGGTGTCTCTAACCATCGGTTACGATCATCTCGAGGTCCCCAGCCAGGGAGTCTAACAGGACCTATGCGACCCAGTCTCCTGGTTAGGATTTCCATACCCTCGTGCCAGATCTTAGCCTGACCACCCTTGGCTTTTTTCCACTCGTGTCTGCTTCGGCGAACATCGCTCGCTGCGTCAACCTATCTGGTGACATGCGTAACACATGCCCCAACCAACATAATCTATGCAGATCGACCCGTTGCTCTAGTGAGCGACCGCGGATACCCAAAACTCTGCGTCTAACCTCAGCATTGCTCATCCGGCTACCCC